TGTATTTACACACCTGTGATATATACAGTTTCTCTAAAACTACAGCAGGAGGCCAACCAGAAAGGGGCTGAAGAAGGTTTTAAGCAGAAGCTCTACAGCTGTGGTCACCAACTGGTAGATCTTGGCACCTCTGACAGGTGATCCTGCCTGGTTTGGCCAGGAAGCAATCAAGTACTAGCACTTCAGTTGCCCCTCTACCCACTGTCATGCTTTTCCTGTGCTCTACCTTGGACCTGCTGCCCTGGGAGCCTCCTGCTTGCTTTGTAAGATCTGGGAGGGAGAAGTGGGAGGTGCTGAAGTCAGGGTATCTCCACACAGAGAGAAGGGGATGGAGGGAGCTTAGCAATGCAAAACTCCATCACCCACACACTGTGTGTGTCTGTCATTCTCACAAACACACATTGTTCTTCCCTCTCATCTCGCAACCCAACACATAAGCGGGGGTTGTTACTACTTTTACTGCTTTCAAAGTGTTATTTTGGGTTTTGACTGGTCTGTGCATTTCATCATTTTCATTTCTCTCTTTGCTTACATTTAATTATTTGAATAGTGAGTTCTAAAATGCCTAACCTGTCGTGGCTGAAGTAATTATCCCTGTGGTAATTGCTGCCCTGGAAGTGGTTGGCATGTCCCTGCAGCCCATGAGAAAGCAGGGGGTGTCCGTGTGCTGTCCTTGCCTGCAGACACCACTCCTGCAGCTCCCATTGATCAGTAATGGGGAACAGTGGCCAGTAGAAGCTGTGGGCTCCGTGCCTGTAGATCAGGGGCAGCACATGGCCCCAGGAGCCACTGCTGTATGTGCCAGCTGCTTTCCGGAGTGGTGCAGGGCCAGGGCAGGAGTAAGCCTGCCTTAACCCCACTGCTCCACCACCCAGAAACTGTCTCAGTTAAATGGTGCCCAGCCAGAGCCTGCTTCCTGAACCCCTGTCCCAGCCCTGAACCTCCTTCTTACACCCAACCTCCTGCTCCAAACATGAGTCCCCTTGCACCCAAACTCCTTCCCAGAGCTTGCACACTGAAACCCCTCCTGGACCCCAGTCACCCCACCCTGGGCTATGCCGCTCCCACACTCCAGACTCCTTGGCCCAAGATTAGAGCCTGCCCCCCTCAACCTCTTACCCCAGCCTGGTGAATGAGGATGAGGGAGGAAGGGAGATGGAGTGAGCAGAGTGAGGCTTCAGAGAAGGGGTAGTGCTGGGGCAGGGCCTCAGAGAAGGGGCAGGAAGGAAGTGGGGCAAGGGTATTTGGGTTAGAGGTAGATCTTACATTGCACTTAAATTGAAAAAATGTTCTTGTGGTAAAAGAGGTTGGAGACCACTGCTCTACAGTGAAACAGGGAGTGGCAGAATAGCATTGGGGATTACCATACTCCTTTAGGAGGGCAGACTAAATGGTCAGTGCAGTGTCCCTTCTGGCTTTATAATCTATGAATTGGAAAATTTCACAATCCATAGGCCAAAATCAGTGATGACAACTCCTGTTTGAAGATTGCAACTGTGTGCCTGTGCGTGTCTCAAAGCAGAATTTGGCCACAATTCATTTCATTTTGGGAAGTGACTTACTTTTAAAAATGTCTAATTCAAATGCCTCTCCTTCCCCTTGCCATGGATGTATGGCACTAAGATCTGTGAATCCATCCAAATTTTATATTTTCTCTCTGTATATTTGAAGAAAAAGAAGTCAAAGCATGAACTCATGAATATCATTACAAAAACATGTTACTTTTTGTAACTAACATACACTTGTCCTGTGTTCATACACTAGCCTTTTTATACCTTAAAAGTAATCCTTGTATATTTTTATTCCTTCTTCTGACATCTGACCTGCGTATTGACTGTTGTTTTATCTAGATCTAGATTTAAATTAACCCATCATAAAAACAAAGCAAATATTATTAAATTGAAACATACATCAAGAGATTAAAGCAGAAATTTTAGGTTGTAAAAACTTGGAGTGATGAAAATTTAACTGCCACATGAGGTCACTGTAGTCTATGGAATGATCAGTCTCGATATCTCTTTTAGAGAGGGTAAGGAAGTAAACAAACATATTCTTGGCACTTGCTGTATTAAAGAAACTGTGTGTTCTGAAAGGGACAAAATGGGTTTGGAGAAGGTACTGGACTCAATTCTCCCTGACCTCTGCTTTGTGCAGAGTGTTGGGAGCTGGTTATGGCTTCCTGAATCTGTAGCAGACCAGTTCTCATGTCACTTTGTTACTTTGCTGATGCAGTATCCCTAAGTAATCTCGCAACAGTGCAGAAGGGCTCCAACATGTTGCCTTCTGCTTCCTGCACTAGGGTTGTAGTGGGGGAGTGTAGTGTAGGAGCCACTCTGACCCTGGAATTCTCCATTGGCAAGCTAGGTCCCGAATCCTACCTATTTGCATAAGGGCTTTGGCTGTAACGGAGGATCTGGCCCTTGGTATATGCAAGCTTCTGAGAGAGGCATTCTAACACAGGAAAGCTAAATAAAATCATATGAAATAATAGCTGGATTCTTTTAATAAGATTATACACACATTTCAAAGGAACAGATAGGTTTTACTGTGACTCATCTCTCCTTCAGGCTTGCTGGTATTCGTTGGGTTTACCAGGTTATGTGCTGAGTGCTTTAATCTGTATTTTCCAATAATAGATCCAGTAAGTAGGAGAGAAGATCCTAGTACTAATGCCTCTGGTAGGCTCCCTCCTTCCCAGTTTGATCCTCCCTCACCCCCACCTCCAACAGCAGCCACAAGTCCACAAGAGGAAATTGTAAGTACTATAGCAGGAATAGAATTTTAAAATATGCTATTAGAAAAAAGTAATTCATTAAGCTATTTAGGCATCAGGGTTTTTTCATTGAACAAACTGTGTATCTCAAGCACTGAGGGTATGTCTACACTACCCCGCTAGTTCGAACTAGCGGGGTAATGTAGGCATACCGCACTTGCAAATGAAGCCCGGGATTTGAATTTCCTGGGCTTCATTTGCATAAGCGGGGCGCCGCCATTTTTAAAACCCCGCTCGTTCGAACCCCGTGAAGCGCGGCTACACGGGGCACGAACTAGGTAGTTCGAACTACCGTTACTCCTCGTGGAATGAGGAGTAACGGTAGTTCGAACTAGGAAGCCTAGTTCGAACTACCTAGTTCGTGCCCCGTGTAGCCGCGCTGCACGGGGTTCGAACCAGCGGGGTTTTAAAAATGGCGGCGCCCCGCTTATGCAAATGAAGCCCGGGAAATTCAAATCCTGGGCTTCATTTGCAAGTGCGGTATGCCTACATTACCCTCCTAGTTCGAACTAGGAGGGTAGTGTAGACATACCCTGAGAGAACTGTTAGTGCTGTTTTTGAATTTGGATTATTTACAAATAATTCTTAAATTTTAGAAAAAAACTTGGATGTAAAAGCATGTACTATAGCATAAAGCACTGAATGCGCAGAGTTGTGAGGTTATGACTGCTATGTCAATTTTTCTCCCTCCCCCTCCACACAAGGCTCTAATTTTGTAAGTAGAAAATTTGTGAACTAGTTTCTTAGGATGAAGAAGGTCACATTCTTAAGCAGAATTGGCTTTCCAAGGTACTTTTATAGAAAACAGTTGCTGAGACTTAGTAAGAAATATATCTGAACTTGATTTAGTTTGAGAAAATAGAGTTTACATTAACTTCAAGGCTAGTTTTCAGCAATGTATTATTTATAAGGGATAGTGTCAACGTGGAATGTAGTCATTTTCAAAACCTAGGTTAAAAATATTTTCAGGTACAACCTCTGCCCTTAGGTCCCACTGAGAATTTGTGGTGCGTACCAATCACATTTTTCTAGTTTATTAAAGACCTGCACAAGCAGGGAAACAGTAAAATTGACTAAAAACAAAATAGTCAAACTGAAAAAATGTTGACATATTTTCCTTCTGATCTTTGTTACTGAATCTTGGATATTATAGACACTCATCTTTCTGACAATGTGTTAGTTTTTAAGTTGACTATGACTTTGCTTACTTACAGAATAAAATGTACCGGATAATTGAAGTGTCAGACTAATCAAATAATATAACTGCATTTTCAGTAAAGGATTAAGTATGATCCAAACTACAATTCCTCTATAAACCCTTTGATTTATTTACAGTTTTCATCCCATCTGGGCCACGCAAGTACTTCTCAGACCAGATTAGAATCAAATTCTCCAGTAATAGTCGCTAGTGCAGCTGTAGGATCTGGCATTACATCTGCTCAAAAACTGGTAACAAACTAGAATTAATGGATTAATGTTTTAAGTCATTGTAGGTGTACTAAAATCTGTCTTGGATCCTTTCTTGTATTTGGGGTAATATATAGAATTATAGGGGAGTTTGTCCAAGAGTTTAGGTAAAGGCATGGGCAGAAACTTGAAAATGCATCGGTTCATTTTAAATGGATTATTTGTTGTATGTTAAGATAAAAATGAGAGAGACTCTTAGGAAAAGTAATGTGTGGGGTTAGGAAATAAAATGGTGACAATTTGATAAAAGTTTATACAAAATTATATATAGCACATCATGAGCAATTAACATTTCAACAACTGAAAGGTTGGTTTTTTTTAAATGAAATCTGCATTTTTTCACCAACTAGCTTAAATCTTTTCCTCATTCCTTCCTCTGCTCTTGTATCTAACCTAGTCCTTTTTTTCTTCCTTCTCCATATTCTCTGTCGCTAAGCTCCCTCCTTGTCCCATCTGATATTTTGCTCCCTCCTTGTCCCATCTGAACTTCTCTGGGGAAGGATGGAAGAGTGAAAAATTGCCGTGCCTTAGTTTAATTGTGTGTAACCTTTTTTCTGCCTGGTATATTATTGATTCAAGGACTGTGCTGGGCTGATGTGGGTGTCTACAGCTATCACTAGCTTACAGCCAGAAAGCAAAGCTACTATTGTTCTATACTGCTAGATTTGTCAAAAGAGCTGACAGAGGGCCCTTTCATGAGTAAGGTTTGCTATGCTTCTGCACAACAGTCATTAGCCACATGACAGTACTTACTATCATCATGATAGTGTCTTTATTTAGAATGGGAAATACCATAGTAAATGTAACTGCAGGTAATAAATACCTAATTTTAATTGTGCCCAATGTACAGAATTCCAAAGTTTATATACAATTATAGAGACTAGTTTACCTATAGTACCAATAAATTGTTAATATCTATAGCTAATACATCAAAGCAGCTGCTTCAGTGAGTTGCAAATATTGTATGTAGGCTTCTCTAATGAGTGTGTCTTGTTTATTTGTAGCCAATGGCAAGAGTAGTGACATCTGCTCAGCAGAAGGCAGGAAGAACAATCACTGCTCGAATCACAGGCCGATCTGATTTGGGACCAAAGAACAGAATTTGTAGTAGTTTAGCTGTAATGGGAGTCTCACCACCCATGAGTTCAGTTGTTGTTGAAAAGCATCATCCAGTCACTCAGGTAGGTCCAACTGATATTAGGCTGTAACAAGATAATTATTATCCTATCTACTAGTAGGTTAAAACTTGTCAAGATAAATAAGCGCTGTTAGAGTCAATAAGTATTTTTTTCCCGTTGGATGTGTGTCCTAAAAAAGACTTACATCAGAACGATGAGGGTAGGAAATAAATAATCCCACTTAAACTACACCATTCTTTCCTTCTGGTTGTAATAATAGTTTAGAAGCCTTTGTAGTTGCTGTCCGTACCCTCTACACAACTGAGGTAAATTGCTTTTTTGGAAGTAATGATTGTGGAGATAGAGCTTGTGTATGAACTTGATTTAATGAGTGAGAAATGTGACTGGGCCAAAGGCAGCAGTTACAGCGTAAACCGACGAGCTTAAGGCATGGATCACTTAGTGTCAGGCCTTAACCAAAGAACTGTGTGGATGGCAACAAAGCAGAAGTGGAACCTGCTTTGTGCTGTACTTGGTTCTTGCTCCCCCCTTCACCATTGTGCACACATCCCTTTCCTATGCAGTATGTTGTGTGATGGTAATGGAATGACCGTATTAATAAGATATTTGATAACCAGTATTAACAAGAAAAGAAGGTTTTGAGCAGTGGCTTTATTAACATAAAAAGATCATTCAAAGTCCTTTCTACAGCTAATTAGGCTGACCACGGTCAGAGCAAGAATCTTTGATCACATAGGATGTATATGAAGGAGACATCTAGCTTTTGAGTCTGGGTGCATGAAAGACTGGGCCTCCTTCAATGGTACTTGCCATAACTCAGCAGAGGTGCTTGAGCTCCCTTGATATAAACAGCTGGGTTGACAACAGAGCATTTGGACTCTACGTTGGTTTTTCCAACTCCTGTGGTTAACAGGGCTTGGATTTAACCTTCTAGCTTGAGGCGAGACACTTTTTCCAATGCACATTTGGGAAAGATACAAGCTCCTTAGCAATGGTGTTGTGTGCCCTGGGGCTCCTGAGGCCCGCTGTTAGCTTTATTTTTCTGAAGATGAGGATTGCATATAGATGGTCTTAGACAGGGAGTAGAATCTCAAAATTAGAGATGGCCGAAGCTTGGGAAAGGAACTTAAAAAATGCTAGTCTCCGACTAGCAAGGAAACAGCTTACCCCTTGGAGCTTTCTGAACCAAGGGATGTTTCAGGGTTCTGTCTGCATACCTTCCCACTTCTCATGTACAATTAGTAATAAATACATAATGCAGCATCAGCTGTAGGGCAGTGATGTTATGATTGAATTAATCTTTGGTTATTTAAAGTAGGGGTGTAATAGTGTAGTAGTTTAACTGATAAGCAAAAGCTTATATGTTAATGCTGTAGATAACACATTCTCTGCCTCCCCCCCCCCCCCCGCGCGTGTGCACACTCCCTGGCCAGTACATTTTTTAGCAGGCTGGCCAGCAGCTCGGCTCAGTCCTGGCTCACACTGGATCTGGGACTTGCCTCTGTTGCAGCTCTGCGTTTAAAGTGAGGAGCTGGGTGAGCAGGCAGCCCAGCTCAGTTCCAGCTTGTGCCAGGTCCGGGAGCTCAGAGCCCTCCTGGACCAGGCTGTTGCCATCCTGTGCTGCTGTCGCTCTGTATCAGACGCAGCAGCACGGGGCGGCAAGCAGCCAGTCCACAAGGGGTGCTAATTTTTAAATTGGCTTCCCTCACAGACCAGCTCCCGCCTGGCACCCCACTCTGCTGCCTCTGATACAGAGGCAGCAGCACAGGGCGGCAAGGGGGCTCCTCAGGAGAGGGGTCATACGTAGCACACTGGCTGCCACCTCTGCCCCCAGGGACTATAGGATAGTCATCTAACTGATAAGAATTCATGAGGTTACTTGACTATTCAGTTAACCAATATTTAACATCCCTAATTTAAAGATTGTGTCTCGCTGATCATTTTAAATATGACTTAAGAGAGAATAACCAGTTATTGCAATAGGGAGGCCATCTGCCTGGTAGTGAATAACCTTAAGCATCTTAACAAAACATTTGCATCACAAGAGTAACTTTTCTTCCTAAGTGCAATTGGCATCTGAATGTTTTCAGGGAAGGAAGCCATCTTGATTTATTCACAAAGTATCCTTTAAAGCAGGGGTCTCCAAACTTTTCAGCCCAAGGGCCGCATTAACTATCAAACAGCAGTTCGGGGGCCGACTACACACTTGAGGTCCAAATAAAAAACAATCAAAACATGGATGTTGTTTTTAATTATTTATTTAATATTATTTTATTCAGTTATTATTTAATAACACATTGATACACTACACATGAACACCTGTATTAGTGTGAATGGTGAAATTGTTTCCTCGATGCCAAAATTGTTTCCGTAGACAAAAAGGTCTCCACGGGCCGGATGAGAGGGCCTCGCGGGCCGCATCCGGCCTGCGGGCCGTAGTTTGGAGACCCCTGCTTTAAAGGAATGTTGCTGTAACTAAATAAGGAGTTTGAACTAAACTGCCTGATCTTTTTCTCCGCTAATTACAAAAGCTTAGCACTGTTGTCTGTACTGTTTATTAAAACCTCAAAGCTAAGAGCAAACTTACTTTAAAAAGAATTGAAGCATAGATGGTGATGAATGGTCAAAGAATAAGAGAAAGTGAGGTCAGTGAACTATATTATTCCCCATCTGGCACCAGTTGTTTCTAGGGTTGTCAATGTGTTCCCCTGTATGCGGTTACACACAGCACCCTCTCCCCCACCCCACCGCCTCTATTGCAGAGGGGGTGTGTCTAGACTGGCAAGATTTTGTGCAAAAGCAATTGCTTTTGCGCTAAATCTTGCTGCCTGTCTACACTGGCCGCAAGTATTTGCGCAAGAACACTGACTTTGTACTGTACAAAATCAGTGCTTCTTGCACAAATACTCCAACGCTCCTGCTCAGGGATAAGCCCTCTTGCGCAAGTATTCTTGCGCAAGAGGACCAGTGTAGACAGGCATGTTAATTTCTTGCGCAAGAAAGCCTGATGGCTAAAATGGCCATTGGAGCTTTCTTGCGCAAGAGAGTGTCTACACTGGCATGGATGCTTTTGTGCAAAAGCATCCGTGCCAGTGTAGACGCTCTTTTGTGCAAATACTTTTAATGGAAAAACTTTTCTGTTAAAAGTATTTGTGCAAAATCATGCCAGTGTAGACGCAGCCAGGGGTTAGAGAGGTGGGACCTAGTGTACATGGAGAGCCAGCTTCCCATTGAGCCACCTGCCCTCCCACCAGGATGCTGCCTGCCCCCAACCTGTAAACATTTAGCCGCTGAAATTTTCAACTGCTACAATGTTTACAAAAATAAACACATTTTAACATCCCTGATTGTTTTTTCTGTTTATAGGTTCATGTTCACTGCATTCCAGCTAATTTAATGGGGAATTCAGTTTCTAGAAATTCTATTTATATCTTCATATTAAGAAGGCATCTTCTTTTATTTTTCAGCAAACTATATCCCAAGCCACTGCTGCTAAATACCCTCGAACTGTGCACCATGTTTCTAGTGCCACGAGTGTGAGACCTACTGGACACAATGGACGAATACCTCATAGCCAGTCTCATATTAACGTTCAGTCAATAAAAGTTGTGGACTAAGGAATAGTTTGAAATGCTTGAACTGTTCCTTCCAGATGGACCGTTTTACCAAGTTGCAGAGTAAAGCTCTTCCCAGTGTGTTCAGATTGATGAAGCAAGGCTCAAATATACATCATGTTTTTTACCTTTTAAAAATCAAATTGTAGATACTCAAATGTTCTGAGGGTAAATAACCAGCAATTTGACTTGACAATGTAGCTCTTTAAGTGCAAGCTATGCCTGTTTGAGAGAACCCATTTTATAACATGTATACTTTATTTAAGAAAGTTGTTGGATGTGGTTTTTAATAAAGGATTAAAATAGATGTTTTTTCAGGGTTTTTTGTATAAAATGTTAATTACAGGTAGATTTAAGAAAATCAATGGAAGTGAATTCAGACAATGAAATTTAAGACTGTAGTACTGTACCATGTGAAATTATGTGTTGGGATTAATACCAAGGAAAGAGTACAAAGCAAACAGCCAAGCTAATACAAGAAAGAAAATTATTCAACATAACCTCCTACCTTCTTCTGTAATCAATTTGGGGGTTCTTTCTATTTTTAAAACACTCATTTGGGTGGGTCTTAAACTCATGTTACAACATAGCCACTGTTCGTTTAGTGCCTTAGAGAAAGGGAATCTGGTTCTACTGTCCTTCGTGGGTGCAATGCAGGACAGTAACCCCATGGGGGGTTACATTGAAGACTGCAGAATGCTACTAATTCAGTGTATTACCACTTTTACCAAAGCACCAGTCAGACTGCTGGGAGATTTTTAAATGTACTCAGCTGTAAAAAAAAAATTGTCATTAGAATTTAATAAATGAACAAGTCAAGCATCGTCTGTAGCACCAAATGTAAGTTTGTTAAAATGGCCACATAGAGCTCATGACAAATGTTCAGTGCTCTCATTAGACAGAAGTTACCAGCAAGTATTACAGTAAAATATGTATTCACAAATAAAGCTGTTTTTAGGAAAAGTAGCACTACAGTTGCATCCACTTTCCATTCACATGAAGAGTTAGTAATCAGTATATGGTATTACATGTCCTTTTGCTGGATAAGCGTATCCCTATTATGAGACACCTGCCTATGTTATACTGAAACTGTATCTTGTATCTTTGTCCTGTGTAATCAAAAAATCTTTAAGAACAAACATCCACCCAGATAATGTCACTGAACAAGACAAAGCCAAGAAACTGTAATCCTCTTTGGAATTTACCTTAAAATGAGCTACATCTCAAGTTAGGCTGGGAGCTAGCCCATTTACAGACAAGATGTTGATTATTTATCCACATAATCCTCACTTTTGAAATACATGTGCTCTGCTTCTTGGCTGACAGGAAGTACATTCCATATCAAGCATAAACTGGTTTAAGTACAGTTCCAATATGGAATTATTGTAAGTCACATACAAAAACACTGTAGCATGTTCTATCACTTGGTGGAAGTCACAGAATGACAGTGTAATTGTATTTATTTTTATATGGGAGAGAATTACTGTTAGTGTAATTTCTTTCAAAGGTGAAATGTCCAAAAAAGGCAGAGTATGGAACTAACCAGGTGTAGAAATTTGTGTTGTAGCACTAATAATCTTTAAATAAAGAATTTTGAAAAAACTTCACAGGAGGTGAACTACATTTTGCAAACACAATAGAACTTGAGAATTACAAACACCAGAACTAAAAGCTGACCAGACAATATCATGCAGGAACAGAGGACCAAAATAAAAGAAAGTAACATACTGTGTTAAACTACTAAAAAAAATAAAGGCTAGCAGCATTTTTCTTCTGCATACTAAAGTTTCAAAGTTGTATAAATCAATTTCCAGTTGTAAATTAACTCTTGAAAGAACAGCCATTATGTTTTGTTCAAAGTTACAAACAACCTCCAGTCCCAAGTGGTTAGTAACTGAATTTCTACTATAAGATCTTTTCTGGAAAGATTACTTATTTAGTCCATAGCCTATCCCAGCTGCTGCTGAAGAGTTCATGAAACAGCACACTTCTTGGACTCTGTCTCAGTGCTCCTTTCAGCTCTGATCTTCTCTGTAAAGAAAGGAAAAATGTTCTTACCAGACAGACAGTGCTTCTTCCCAGATCTAGTTAGACAGGTTTCCTCATGTCAGGCATGTCACTGCAATTGGAACTAGATTTGTTATAAAACAAGTCTCTCTCTTCCTCCTCCACCCTCCCCCAAACCCTCATGTAACTAATTGTTTTGCCCTACCCAATCAAGCCCAAAATCCCAGTAAATACAGATCAAATGGGGAGTCTTATTCTTTTGCAGGACTGCACTTATGATCCATCTCCCTCCATGTAGCTTGGTCCTGCATATTAAACAATAGCTTACCAGCTTCTTGTTGAAATCCTACATTCACCAGATCTTCATATATATGTTTGACTGGATTCCGGTGAGCCAGCAATATACCATGTAACCAGATGAGCAGCATTCGGTGTCCATGTTCCTTATAGCTCTTTTTTCCTATGCAATATACAACATACATGTCTGTTATATGCTTGGAGTAAAATACCCTGATACCCAGCTGCTTTGGTAAAGAGATACCAATTGGTACAGCATTCCTCTAACTCTACTCATGTACTCATTTCCTTTCTGACCTAGAAGCAAGATGGAAACTAAGATGTCTAAAGATGAAAGACCAGCTTTTTAAAATAAATGTATTCCTTTATTATTGTGTGTAAATACAGTGTGGTGGACTAGTAAAGAATCATCATGTGCTATAGAAATAATGAACTCAACACGATATGGTTACAGCTATGTCTATTTATATACTATTATACTTGGCCAAAGCCTTTCATTACCTGTCCACTGTTCTTCAATTGCTTTTATTTGTGCCTCTGTAAAATTCCAGAACAGGGCCAGCTTCTTCCATTCTTGAGGTTTTAACTGATTGTAAGCCAGATTCCAGAGACAGAAACGAATTTGCTTAGTCTGTGCACTGTGATCCTGTTTAAAGGATAAAATAAAATCTGGCACATCAACATGGTTTTCTGGATGCTCCTAAAAAACAAAAACAAAGATATTAAATAAGCTGCATAAATTTTAACTACAAATTCAGAACCAGTGATGAACATTTGTACTTGACTATCCTGGCAGTTAAACCATGTTCAGCTGTATACTTTGATATTCTCTGTCAGCAAGAAGTAACTTTCTTGGTGTAGACATAATAGGCTACATCTAGACTAGCATGATTTTCCGCAAATGCTTTTAACGGAAAAGTTTTCCATTAAAAGCATTTGCGGAAAAGAGCGTCTAGATTGGCACGGACGCTTTTCCGCAAAAGCACTTTTTGCGGAAAAGCGTCAGTACCAATCTAGACGTGCTTTTCCTTAAAAAAAGCCCCGATCGCCATTTTTGCGATCGGGGCTTTTTTGCGCAAAACAAATCTGAGCTGTCTACACTGGCCCTTTTGTGCAAAAGCTTTGTCTAGACACAGCCAATAAAGAATAGACTTTTACCCTGGTTTCCTAGCAGAGCTTTCAGGAGAGAAAAAATATTTGTTTTTGCTGACTGCTTATGGAAAGTGCTACTAATCTCAAAGTGTAGCTGACTACAGTTAACTATAGATTGGACAGCATCTATATCCTATTGTTGTACGAGTTAAATGGAAATTAATATACTTGTAAAATTAAATGCTGCTTTCACCAGGAATCTTGCTATAGAATTACTATTAATGGTGGGCCCTGTCTATGCTACAAAAATGATTGTGCTTAAACAATTGTGACTAAGCCGCATAAGATTTTCTCTTGCCTCTGTGGACAGAGAAAACATGTTCAAACTACGTTTTAGGGGCTGTCTACATTAGGCACTTTTGGCAAATTTCCCATCATTGCTACTTTGATAAGGGCACTAGTGTAGCAAGTGAGCTGGTTGCTGGGCAGTTAACCACAGCAACATGTAGACTGTCTCTCAGAGTTAAATGACAGAATTCAGTGAGTCCTTGGAGCCCTTACTGCATTGAGGTTCTTATGACAGGAGCAGCTTCAATAGGAAATCTTGAAAGGATGGGGGGAGAATAAGGGAGTTGTGTCATTGATTTCAAAGGACCAGAATTATACCTCTACTGCAAACATCCATTAAGCATCTAAGCATGCGAATTCAATGGAACTGAAGTATATACTTAACTCTGCTCATAGATGGAGTGGGATGAGTGTTGTAAATCCCAGAACATTGTGCAGGAGAATAAGATATTAGCTGTGTAAAGCATCCATAGTATAGGATAGGCTTCTAGGAAATTTTAATTTAAACAATTTTTTCTAAAATAATGGTTCAAGACAATAGTTAAAATATTATAATACCTCCACTTTATTTCCTAGCAGGTTACATTGCAGGACAGTAAGAATTTTAGAATCTCCACCCTAGAGGTTTGTAAGGCCCGGCTTGACAAAGCCCTGGCTGGGATGATTAAAAGTTAGGGTTGGTCCTGCTTTGAGCAAGGGGATGGACTTGATCTCCTGATGGCTCTTCCAACCCTATGATTCAATACTCTACTCCAATGCCCTTGTCCATCTGTATTGATACTTAGCCACAGATAGAATTGTAGTGCATCTGTTCAACTGTTTCACAAACACATGATTAAACATCTTTTCTGTCCTCAGACAGTTAAGAGAATGCATCGGAGGAGTATATTCCTTAATATTAGCTCAGGAATCATTTTCTCTGGGAATGAAAGGACTGACATTCAATTCCCTTTTAAGATGAAAGGAACAAGAATGTACATGACAACGATCCCAGCTGAACCAAACCCAGACACGCAGAAATTATGCAGCCTGTGGACTTGTTTTTCCCAAGAACTCAGCCTAACCTGCACTAATTCCCTGCAGCATTTGTTATCAGGAAGTATGAAGAAAGGACAAGTAATTTATTGTGTAGTAGCTTAGCATTGATAGGCAGAGGTAAATTAGAGAAAAGACGGCAGAGTTACACCCTAAAGTACAACAAGGAGGCAAGCAACTGAATTCCTTAGTCTATTTATAGTTTCAAGGAACTAGTAAGAAACAGCAAACATTGTCAAAAGGCAGGTGGGTCCATTGTCTGACGGTGTGTCTACTGGAAGTAGTGGTGTAAGTCCACTTCTGATACACACCTAATGCTTAGGCTCTTATCCAACTCTATGGAGGTACCAACCCCTCAGTATGACGCCCCTGCAGCCACCTAGTCTGCCACCTTCCTAAACAACTGCTGGCTGCTCTTTTAGCCCCAGTCTATGCCTAAGGGCTTTGTGGAACCAGCTGAGTGTGCCCCACACTCTTCCACCTCTGCTCTCAACGTGTCTATGTTCTGGCTTCCGGGACATACTCCAGATTCCTGATTCCTAACCTACAGCATTACAATAACACCTCAGCTTCCTTCTTCCCAATATTCAATACTACATGGAAATAGCCAAGATAACCCAGTTAGAATCTGCTTCTTTGGCTAGTCCCTTTAGGGCAGGGCTACTCAACATGTGACCCACGGCCTATTTGTTTGCGGTCCATGGTGTGGTTTGGATTTACACAGGGCTCAACACACAGCCCGCAGGTAGGATCCTTTGAACATGGCCTCCACTGGGAACATGCTCCCAGGCGGGATGAGCATTGAAAGACGCAAGCAGACGGGCTGGCTGGAACAGGCGGGTACAGGGTGTTGGTGTTTCTAGCTCCCAGAGAGGAGGTGCTGGGAGTGCCGGGGCATCGTGGGAAGTGCTTTGTATTCATGCCCGTCAGTGTGAAACGAGCTATTTGCATATGTATTTGCATGTATATGCAACCACACTTAAGTTGCAGCCCTCAGCATGTGCTGAGTATCATTGTGGCCCCGGGGCTTCCACAGTTGAATAGCCCTGCTTTAGGGAGACAAAGCTATTTCATACCTGTTTAAAGGTGTAATACCTTTCTGCTTTAATAATCATATCAATGACGAGAGCATGGTTGCTCCTGGATGCAACAGCCAGTGCAGTTTTTCCTTGCTGAAAGCAGAGACAGAGTGTCAGCATGTTGTCCAACTGACAGGAGACTGATGAAATAGCAGGAATTTAGAATCTCTTTCTGAACTCTGATATTTGCAAAGAAAATGTTTCAATATGATATTTTATCTCCAAAGCATCAGGAAGTAAAGCTCCTTGCTTGTTCAGTGTTTTCCAGCTGCCCGCAAATGGACCCGTGGAATGTTTCAGGTATACGTGGTTGCTAAGGGTTAACAAGCATAAAGGATAACCATAGCATAAAGGATAAGCTTATGCCCAGAACCCTGACACACTGCGGCTGCTCACCTCTCATTCACTACTATGTGCCTAGCCTATAAGGACCCGGCTTGTTTGATGACATCATGCGGCAACTCCTTAGCTAGTTGAAGCGTATACACCTGACTAGAAGCTGGGGCTCAAAGTCTGGTATAGCCACCCAAAACATGTAAGAACCACTGCTTTAATTCCGGCCACAGAGAACTGTGTAATAGATCTGAATACATCTCTGCTACAAACAGTTCAAGGCCATGTAAATACTTCTGAGACTTTAGTGGTTTATCTCTGTAATCCGTTTATGTCATTGGATTTGCACTGAGCACAGCTGTCCCAGACATAAGCATTCTAGACATTTTCCACCTCTTTAGAGTTTAGGAGATCTTTCACATTAGAGGCTGATTTTCTTTCAGTCATAATTATAGGGCTCAGAAATTAAATTACAAAGCACTTTAACGCTCCCGCTATTATAAGTTTGCTAATATATACCTTCAGAATTCTAGGTCCCTGCTCCATTCAAGATCATTATAATTAGCCCATTTTTAGAGAGCATCATATTGGGAGCCCAGGAATTTACATCTCACAACATCCTTATCAGACAGAGCAAGTAGTCTGGAAAAGGGAAAAGACAAAAGACTTTAAGAATTTCCTGGAGCCCAGATCTGCCTGGTCACTCCCTGTTCACAGGAGAGCAATTCTGCCTTCTCTAACAAATGCTCATGCCATTAGGACACCTCTGACTATATTCAAGTTAGGTGACATCCTGACAAACGAGGGAGGAGGCATTCTTTCCTGGTCACTGCAGTGTCCAATAACCACGGCAGAATTTTAATGACTCTGGAGAGAGAAGCAAGTCCAAATGCTCACTTGTGCACTAAGCAGCAACTACATGCATCCAGGAGCATCCCATCGCCTCCTTTCTAGCCAGAAAAACTGAAGATTCAAGGTGCAGGAGGAGAGAGGGCCCTGGCAACAACACAATGTCAATCCAAACAGTCTGCCTTTTCCCCAACGCACACTAGTGAGCATGGACGGGAGTGCCCCGACCCACTCACCCTATTCCAAACCTATCCAGGCCCCAGACCTTCCCATGTCCTCAGTCAGTTCCACTCGCCCCACCCACAGACTGGGGAGCTGCAATTAGCCAAGGAATTTGTCACCCAAACAGGGTCTAATCTTGGTTTAAGCCTGGTATGGGAACCACAATTTTTGGCTCATTGTAGACAGGCCACTAATCGTATTGAAGGCTGCATCTCACACTAGTATGGGGCGTGGGGGGTGAGGGAATGGGCAGGACTGATTTTCGATGGGGGAAGGGGGATACTCCAAGAATTTGATAAGTGGTCAGGGAGGGAAAGGGCTGGGACAGGATTGGGGTACAAAAAGGGGTGTAGGTTCTGTGAGGGAGTTTGGGTTCAGGTGAGGGGTTCTGATATGGGGAAGGAGTGTAGGGGGGGAATTATGACATGAGGTTGGGGTGTAGGGTGCCAGGCATAGGCAGTGGCCGGGAGGCACTTAGTGTAGGGAGCACCCGGCTGACAGCCCAGTGGACCCTCAGGCAAACTCCCTGGCCGCTGCAGCCTCACATGCAGCTTAAAGTGGCCAGCTGCTGAGGTCAGCATGTGTGTTGGTGCATATACCTTGGTGGTAGGAGGGCAGCAGGTCTCTGTGTGCTGCATGCACCCGCAAGCACTGCACCTGCATCACCCATTGGCCAATTTCCGGCCAATGGGAGCAATCAGGATTATGAGGGGGGGCAGGGACAGGTCACAAAGCATCTTGTGAGGCTGTAATAACCAGGGAGCCTGCCCAAGGGTCCTGTGGTTGGTGGACTGAATCCAGCCCGGGGGCTGCATTTTGCCCACCCCTGTAACTACCATCTTACCGCAACCTCAGCCATGTTACTGCCCTTTGAGTCATGGGTCTCTTCTCACATGGGGAACAAGTGGCTTTGTAGAATCAATATTGGCTTTTTGTTTTTTGCCAAGCTGCCTCAGTTTCAAACTGTTTATGTGAGGGCAGGTTTATGTAAGAAAATAACTTGTACAGTCAACAATTCAATTTATTCTTAATTTTTTAAAAAAGCTGCTAAAGAGTGACATTGGCTTGCCAGATACTTTAGAAGCGGCGAGGAGTCCTGTGGCACCTTATAGACTAACTGAAGTGTAGGAGCATAAGCTTTCGTGGGCAAAGACCCACTTCATCAGATACTTTAGGGCTCTATAGATGGCAGTGTATCCAGCTGAATCACCAAATTAATAACAGGACAAGAACATATTTGATGCTTTCCTCTTACTATGGGATTTTTCCATAGATTGTTTTGGTGCTTGCAGAAATCATTACAAATTATGGCTCTCTCTTTCCATCACATGAGGCACTAGCAAGGTAAGCAGGCACAACGCCACTGAAATTAACAGAGAAGCACATGCCTTTATTAGCTGTGAACCTGGCTCCAGATGTGTAGCTATATAACATCTGCAAACTGTTATTTTGTCCTGTTAGCCTTGTATTTTTCCAGCAGTGCTCTTTGATAGCAAGGTCAGTAACACAAACCCCATAACAGAGTAGGCCTTTTAATGTGATCCTCAGTGGAATTAGTTTTTAAGCACACTGAGTTTAGTCACATTTGACCTCACAAATAGCTTTCATGAAAACAAATGCAGATTTCTGTGAGTTGTAGCCACCTGACAGAGTTAAAGGGAAACTTTCTTCATAACAGCCACATTCTAACTATGCTCATTTTATGAGGAATGTTTGGAAACTCTGACTTCTACACCTCTTCAGAAAGAAGGACATAAAAGCAATGATCACATAACTGCAGCACCACGTGAATAATGCAGCATACCTTATCGGCAATCTTGAGATCACAGCCTGCCTTTAGCAGCAGTTCCACTAGTTCCACATTGCCCTGATCAGCTGCCAGGTGGAGAGGGGTTTGTTGCCTCTGCAGGAATGAATATAAAAAGGTGCAATAAAATAGTGTCCTCTTGAGAATAAAACACACCCAATTAAAATCAAAAGGGTTTCTGATGAGAGCATGCACTTGACTGGAAAACCCTGAGCAGAATGAAGGCATGTAGCAGCTGAATGATCAAACTATCAATTTTTTTTATACAAACGAGAGAATGAGTGGAGCCTCTAAAACAAGGAATATCATATGTTCAGAAATTTTTTGACTTGTGCTTACATAGGTGAAAACTGGCAAAAGAGAGAAAAGCCTAAAATGTCTTGCCTTAGAAAGGTTTGTTTCAAAGTATCACCCATGTCATCCTTTCTTTGCCTGTTTAATTAACAAGCTTCATAGAGGGTACATTTTCTAAGAGAATTACAAGCAGATTCCATTTTGTTTACTGACTGTTCATATGGAATGAGGATCCAGATTGCACAGATTAAGTACCATTGAAGAGTAAATGGGGGTGAAATTCACCCTGGGAGGAGGCTTTGTTTGGCCTGTAATGGAAGCCCTGTAGTGAAGCTATGCAGAGAGAAAGCAGTGGGACAGTCTTGGTGGAGTCCTCATATATTAAGGCCAGAAGGATGGCCTTAAACACTTTTATTAGTGCCACTTTATTGCAAATAAGGAATGTTATTTATGGGTCTGACATAGTAGAATCAGTGTATCTTTACACCAACCTTTGGCTTGTCACTGATCATGCTGCCCACTGGGTCCTTGCAAATTCAAGATTGTTTGATTCTCCTGTCTAATTTAGGAAATGTATGGGTCTGCTTAGAGTGATTTGTATGTCTTTAGAGACTAACAAAACATGTAGATGGTATCATGAGTTTTCATGGGCACAGCCCACTTCTTCAGATGCGCATGATACCATCTACACATTTTGTTAGTCTTTAAAGTGCTAGCAGAGCATTTGTTGTTTTTTAAGTTTATCCTGTACAGACTAACTCAGCTACCCCCCTGAAGCTTTTATGTCTTTGTAGATCCATTATAAAAATAGCATAAAAGAATGTCAAGATTGCATGGCTAAATGCTCACAAATCAGGAAATGCCAGAGTTACAATTCCATATGCAACCTTATCTCTACCTTCTTGTATTTATGCACCATGATACAGTCTTTGATTACATGATCACTTACTCTTTTTCATTAACTGTCGCAACTTTTTCCACAGTCTTAAAAATACAGGTGTAGAATAGTATCTCTTACTATCATGTATTTATCTGAGTGTGCCAGAGACAATAAAAGTAATTGATACATAAGATGAGCCAGAAAATTTTGCAGATGTGCTTATCTCTTTTACTACTTGAAAAATAGGCTCCCATTAACAAGGCTCCCATTAACCAAGGGTCCTGTGCAGATCAAAACTTTATGAATCGCATCAAGTTTTCAACTGTGTGGGTTAACTGGAGCATGACTGAGGCTGGGATCCTGCCAGCCTATGCCTCATACACCCTAGAAGATCACTTTAAAAGAAAAGGAGGGAAAACAGAGGATTTAGATTTTTTTCCTCAAGGAAATAAATGTTCTTCCAATTAGCTAATATGCTGTGGTGGATCTGTCTTTTGTACTTAATATATTGCTAAAGCGCATAGCTCTTCATGAGACAAAACTGAATATTCAAACAGGAATTAATTAAAGCATTTTCTGGATAGGTATCACATTGCTAAAACAATTCTAGCAGAATGTGTGAAATGAATAATACACTCATGAATAAATGGGAGGCAACTTCCCTCTTTTTGTAATTTGACCTCATAAAATGATATGTAAAACCAATACACGCTCCTACTTCAAGTGAAGAAAATGCATTGTCTTTTATCAGTCTCTGATTCAGTATGCTTACGTGATTCAAGGCGTTTATATTGTAATTAGCCTCCAAGAGGCTAATTACTACTGGAAAGTTTTTATTGAGGACAGCCAAATGCAGAGGAGAATTCTGCTGTAAAGAGAGAAAAAAATGGACTGTAAGACTAGGACCATTTCATTAACAACAGCGTTCAGGTAATACAGAGAAGCTCCATTAAAACCTGCCACTCAGATTAGAAACTTATTACATTGATCCAGTAATAATTTTTCCTAATAGTACTTTTTCATTTTGAAGAATCATCTGCTCTCGCGATAGTGTACTGTTATATTTTTATGTTTGATTTTGTAAGCAAGCAGTTTTTTAAGTGAGGTGAAACTTGGGGGTACACAGAAAAATCAATACTCTGGAAAAGCTGAGAGCCACTGCTTCACACAGTGAATGGAAAGGGGCCACAAAAGAAAAGAACTGCTTGAATTCTGCCTCAGGAATTAAGCATTCCCTGCTATATATTTACAATAAAACTTTTCTAATTAATGATTGTTTCCCCCATATCACTGTAATGCTTAAAAAGTCCCTTTAGGCTTGCCAGGAAAGATATTAAGCAACTATTCAAAATCATTTGAACTATCATCTGCACTTAAAGCAGAGTGACTATTTTGCTTCAGAGAAAAGATATTTCACACATTTGCGCCCTGATCCACAACAGGATGCAGGCCACCACAAGAGGTGCAGAGTTTCTGGGGTAGATCTAGTCACAAGGCTTAGTTTCTAGCTTCTTCCCACTTACTAATGACCCAAAAGCAGCTTACAGAGCAAACAGAATAGAGAAAAATATAATTATTCACTCCATAAAGTCTATGAATAATTCTTGGTCTGCAGATTGTCTGCAAGCAGTTCATAATAAGTATTTCATATTAAGGAAGTGCTGATATAGTTTTGATTGAACCCATAGGTCACATGGCATTATTTCTGTTTGCCCTAGCAACATGATTTGAGGATGCACCCGTCCAATCAAATTGGATGAACTGTGCATAACTGTGAATTACGTTTCTGGGAGAATACTCAAGTATACGCATTCAAAATCCACTCTCAAGGAATATTCTCTAACATTAATTTAAATATTACTACTTCAGTGAACATTCTTGCCAGTGAACTTGTTTGCTGACAATATCTGTGGAAAGTGAACGCAGCCGGAAGTGTGTTCAGTTTTATTATCCAAGAGATTATTAGTGGAAAAAATTATGAGGCATTTGCCCAGCTCTAATGGGCAAGATGAGAACAGTTTGTATGCTGAACCTCTAAACCAGGAAGCTTTCTTGTAAAATAGCTTTAAAAAATCAGCCCCAGTTCCAGTTCATTCTTCTTTTTATAAAAATACCCCTTTTCTTCAAGTTTGTAGAAAAATAAAACTCTTATCAAGCTTTTCACTAAAAACACTTTAAGGACCCCCCACACACAAACACACTGATTTTAACATTGTATAAGTTACTGTAGCCACAGAGAATCAATGCAAATAAGCAGTGCTACTATGGCTGACTGATTTTTTAAATAATAAAATAAACTGTTTCTAAGACTTTAATGTTATCTATATAATTTCATCTCCTCCACAATGAAAAATAAACAGACAGCTAATGGTCAGTAGGGAGCATAGCTGTAACCATGTCAGTCCCAGATATGAGAGAGAGAAAGGTGGATGAGATAATATTTTATCTTGGGCCTATGATAGCAGGTGATCTGATGGTCCCTTCTGGCTTTACACTCTGACTCTACCAATAGCAGGTAAATTACAACAAATCTCAGAAAAGGCATTCAAGACAGATAAAACATACTTGACCACGATGGAAGTAACACTAAAATAGTAACTGCAATAGACTCACCTCTGATTTAAGAACAAGATCAATATTTTCACTGATAAGAAATGTGACTAAGGATGTATGTCCATTCTGTATTGCGACATGCAAAGCATTACTATTGTGCTGAAAAACACATTGTAAGAAAATACTTTTTTACTACTGGAAAGAATTCAGGAACTTTAAAAAATCTGTTCTATTAAAACATCAATTGAAACAGATGAACTTTCATTTTAATTTGTGTTACTGTCAAAATTAGTCCCTTTAGTAAAATGATGAAGTTGGATATAAATTCACACATTTTATGACTGTCTCAAGCACTGTACATCATTATCAGACTTAAACACAGGTAGCTGGCAAAATACTTATCCAGCAATGCTAATAATTTACTGCTACTTTTTAATCTACCATTTAAAAAAAAAAGGAAGAATCAGTTTTATCAGCTACCTGTGCCATTGAAAATTAGGATTTCAATCTATCTCCTAGCCTTAGAGCTTGGTATGACCTTTATCAAGTAATTACATTCACATTTACACACTTTGAAAATCACTGAAGAATTTTCCTTCAATACTTCTGCTAACAGCAGCAAAGATGAAAACTTGAGGATCAAAACTAGTCATTCGTGCTGCAGGCAAGAAGAATTCACCCTGCTGATGACTTATCAAACATTGTAATTATTAATAGTTTCCAAGTCAAATATATCAAAATATGAAAGAGTTTTTGATAAATGTAACAGAGACTGTTCTGTTTGTTATCAGCACATGGTTCTGTTTTCAATTTGGTAGGGACCAAAAGGTTCACCTAAAATTCCTACAGCATATAAGCCATAAAACAAACCAAACTTAAACTTAAATACAGGAACCAGATGTGAAAAAACGGGCTTATTATTAGCTTAGTTATATAACCTGCCAAACATGCAGATTTTTCAAGTACTTCTCTTGGTTACATTTCCAAGCCATGTGTTATATTCTTGCATACATGTTAATTAAAAAAGCTCCAACACAATACTATATCAAGTAAACCTAGGTTATAATTTTCTTTTTCCATCTAATTTTAAAAACATTACAGTTCTCCATATTCTTAGCTATTATACTTATTATACAATGAATGCCACATCTGCCTTTAATATATAGGTAATAGACAGGATGTGGATTTTGTAGAGTCTAGGTTGTCCAGATAATATGTCTGAGGAATACTAAGTCCGTACTTTGTTTGAAATGTTGATATCACTTCCTGCTTCCAGTAACAGCTTAGCACATTTTTCATGACCTCCTTCAACAGCCAAATAAAAGGGTGTCTCTCCGTTCTGGCCCAACAAACACAATGAAAGAAAAAAATGTCAGTTCAAACTGTGCAATAGTAAAGATGACGACTTATTATGCTATATTTGGTATAGACAGTATGCAAGCTTAGCCAGACTGATACAATGTAAAGGCAAAAAAAACTGTGGTCACAAATGTAAGCAATCTTTCAATATTAGCATTCGCATACAATGGTAATTAACAGCAAACATTTCTAACACAAATGTGCTCCTATCTAATGTGGCAAAAACACAGGCCAGCTATTTCTTAACATTTTTAATGTGCTCTTGGTTTTCTTTAACCAACATGCAAATACAGGGTTATATAAACTATGACAACAGATTGCAGGGACTGACATCCTACAATAAAACATTACTGTTACTGTGTAAACCATCCATTGCAGATGATACATGTCAGAAAGTACAGTTTTGGTCAATCCAATTTCATGAGTTTGTGTCCCCTTAATTTTGGAACCAGTTAAACAGAGCAGTAATCTACAGGACATTCTTAAATAAAAACCACCACCACCTCCACCAAGCCTTAATGGGTCTTCAACATAAATTACACTGGCTGCAAGAACACTTAATCCCTGCTTCTGATCTTTTATGGTCTATCTATGCTTATTGAAGATCACAGTATTCACTGCAGTATTAACAATTTCTAATACTCTTATACTTGAACTCTTGGTGATTTGTTGTTGTTTTAGAAAATGTGGTGTTTGTGAAAGGAACCATGCTGACAACCTTAGGGGCTGAAATTCTCTGTATATCCACAGAACAAAACAGGCAAATACAACACAGGAAGCAGTACTACATTCACACTCATCTGCCAACCAAACTCAATTTTGGTCTACACTAAGAAGTTAGGTTGACATAACTGTTTTGGTCAGAGCTGTGAAAAAAATAAAATACACAATCCCTAGTCAGCATAGCTATGTCAACCTTATCCCCAGTGCAGACACAGATATGCTGATGGAAGAATGATTCCATCAACCTACCTATTCTATTGTCCTTTGGGAAGGTGGTATTCTACATCAAAAGGGACCACTTCTAGGAATGAAGTCTCTGAGTCTGTTTCATCTATGACCTTGCCGCTGAGGCTACAAAATAGAGTTCAAGCTGTTAGAGATTGTTGTGATGCACTTTCCATTAGATATTGGAGTGACCCAACCAATTCATTTCAGAAATACTGAATATTGGCCAACAGATTATAGTGTCTTTCAGACACAACTGACCTGAGCTGGATTCAAAGGGTGTGTCTACACAGTGGCGCTAGCTCGAAATAAGTGACACAATTTGAGCTATGCAATTGCGTAGCTTATTTCAAACTTATTTCGAGATAGTGCTACACAGCGCCAAATTTCAAAATAGACCACTATTCTGACAAGTCCCTTAATCCTCATGGAATGAGGTTTACTGGGACATCGGAATAGCAAGCCCGTTATTTTGATTGCATTTCAAAATAATGGGCATGCTGTTAAGACACAGAAAACATTATTTCGGGATACTGGACATATTCCGAAATAGTGCCATTATCTAGTCTAGACATACCCAAACAGTGATTTTGAGAAAGACTACAGCTTACTATTCATTCCCCTTCATCAACGAAGCTCTAGGTTTAAAGGTACCTTGATGAATTCAAGCTTTGGGCTGACCAGCTTGACCACAATAGAAATGAGATTATTTTTATGGATATTTGTTGATTCTAGATATTTTAATACTTAGTTTTCACTTGTCTTGTGCACCTTTTACCTTTATTCTTTATCTCCCTCAGCAGCTTTATCCTCACCTGATTGAGTTCATTTTTTTCTTCCCATTTTTGTAGCAGAACTTTTAGCACCTTCTGGTGACCATTTTTAGCAGCTAAATGCAGTGCTGTGTTTCCTTCCTGTAAATTAAAAAACCCAGAAACATACTGTAAACCCAAAATTAAGCAGAACATGCTGAAATTAATAAAAACTACTATCAATGGACTGTAGATAAGTAGTTTAATACAAAGCCCTATGGTCTCTTCCTCCAGCATACACAGAAAGGATTCAAAGCTAGTGGAATCAATTTCTCATGCAACAAAAAAGGAAGCAGCAACTTTACAGAATGTTCTGATGCAACCTTAATTCCAGCTTCCAGGTGTACACAGAGGAAGCCATACTAACAAGGGAGAGAGGGAAGCTCTGAGGATTTAATGGATGTCTCAATATGTCTTCAATTTCCCTGCAGTTCTCAGGACATCCATTCACTTAAAGGCCTGAAATTCCTTCCTATTCTGCAAGATGACAAAATCCCAATCCCCACAGGGACAATTCAGAGGAAAACCTATAAAGTAAATCTTGGAATGTCCAGTAGGATTTTTTTAACCCTTTCCATAGGTTTTTCTATGGAAGGGGACTGGGTCTAGCCCAAAAAGTGTCTTAAAAACAAAGTAAAGATTAAGGGTCAAAACCTCATCTAGTGAAAACTGGCAATAGTTCCACTCAAGTTAACATAGTCATCTTCCCCCTTCTGATGCCATCCCCTGCTATGTAATTTAAAAAAAGAAAACAACAAAAAGCATCTCACGGAGCCATCCTAGCATTGGCCATCTGTTACCCTGCTTGCATGTTGCATATTGCCTTCTCCTCCTCCACCATTACAGCCTTTTCTGTTTGGAATGCAAGCCAAAGGACACTTATTTCTCACAGAGCCCCCATTTCCATAGTATCTGAGAACCTCATTGTTAACGTATTTATTCTTGAAACTCCACTATAAAATAGGGAAGTGCTGATACCCCATTCTACAGATGGGAAACTGAGGCACACGGGGACGAAGAGCCAGATTTTTTAAGTTATTTGGGCCTCTAAAAATGCAGATTGGCATCTAGTCAGTTTCCAAAAGTTAAATCAATGAGGGTTATGCTCTTAGAGCCTCTCTACTTCATTAAGTACCTAAATGTCTTGAAAAACTGGCCCTATGGGACCTGCCCAAGGTCAAATAGAAAGTCTGAAGCAGCACAAAACTGAACCAAGGTTTCTCAAGTCCTAGGCTATGCATTACATCATCTTGCTCTCCAAGTATAAGAAACCTCGTTCCATGAAGTTTAACTGGTAATTTGAAGTAAGGGGTTTATTTCGGAATCGCCCTTCACTGCCACGTATAGACGCGGGCAGTTCTTCCGGGCTAGTCAATTTCCAAAATGGCGACCACCTGGGAACATGCTAATGAAGCGCGGGATATTTAAATCCCGCGCTTCATTTGCAATTTCGGTCGCCCTCATTAGCCTCCCTAGTTCGAACTAGGGGGCTAGTGTAGACATACCCTCAGTTATGCAAGTAACTCTACATTGGGCTCAACGTTATAACTTGTAAGTACCCTTTATCTGGATTTCAATGGAAAGAGGAGGCTTACCTTGTCTTTTTCAGAGGTGAACAGCTTCAGAGAAATCAGACTGTTTATCATTTCAACATGGCCTTTTTCAGCTGCCAGAAGAAATGGCCTTTTACCTTTCTTATAGAAAACAATCAATGCAGTTTTATTATTAAAAAGGTGACATTATCACAAAAATTTCACCAGGTATTAGAACCATGCTTATTTATTCATAATATATACATGTCATATGCAGAGGCACACAAAAACCTTGAGTACAGCTCCACACTTGAAAGGGGAAAACAATAACATGTCTTCAGTATACAATTTGGATTAAATACTTTGAAAAAAACATGTGTAAACGGACCAGAAATCTTGAAATAGTAGTATTAGAAAATGAAGCTGATCTTCAAATATTTAATATCTAATTTTTTCACTGGTGTCTGTACAGCATTTTTGAGCTACTCAGAAAGGGACAGTTTAAAGATCCAAAAATTATTTTTCTTAAATGTGCATTCGACAAGAATTTTGAAAACAGAGCCAGTTCTAGATACCTCTGAAAATCAAAAGAGAAGTGGAGAGGGAACTAGAGGAGCTATATTTTTATTCATCTTAACTCACCATAGTATTTTCAACCAAGTGCTAGCAAGCTCTCCTGTAACAATACTGTGGGAATTGCCTCTCCAGATCAGGCCATCTAGCCAGCCACCAAAAAGATAGCTAGATGCTTTAGAGGAAGATGCATGAAACTCCACAACAGACAATTATGAAATAATCTACCCAAAGATACCTCAGTGCAAACTAAGGGTGCATAGAAACTTGCGCAATTAGATTATTATGGCCCGCCACTGGCTTCAAAGGCAGATGTGGGAGTCCAGCTCCCTACATGATCAAATCCTAGATGACTACATTCCTGTGTGCAATTAAAAGAATTCACCACTTGCTAGATAAACCCTCAGGCTGTGTCTACACTGGCACCCTTTCCGGAAATGCTTAAAACGGAACAGTTTTTCCATTATAAGTATTTCTGAAAAAGCGCATCTACATTGGCAGGATGCTTTTCCGGAAAAGCACTTTTTCCGGAAAAGCGTCCGTGCCAATGTAGATGCGCTTTTCCGCAAAAAAGTCCTGATCATCATTTTCGCGATCGGGGCTTTTTTGCGTAAAAGACTACTGTGCTGTCTACACTAGCCCTATCCCGGAACAGTTTTTCCGGAATAAGTGGCCCAGTGTAGAGACAGCCTCAGAGTGGGACTCTGACAGCCAGGCAAAAGACTAACTGGAGAAAGCTCAGGTCAGCCCCTGATTCTCCAGAAAATCCAGGGAGTCTCTGTGTGATGAAGGTGATATTGTACTTCACTTCACAACGTGAAGGAAACAAGTGCCTATATTTTTTTAGGTAATTAAACACATGTTATACCTCATCCAGCTTGTTTAGGTCCATTAGCTGAAGTTCCTGGAGAAGATAATTCACTATTTCCACATTATTGTTCAGAGCTGCAAAATGCAGGACATTCAGTCCCTCCTAGGGAAAACACAAGCCAATTCTGTTAAACTAGAAAATTAGCCCGTCATAAGACGGCATTTTCAGGTCTGTCCTCTATGTTGGTCTTCTTTCCTGGGTCTCTCACTCCATCTCTCTCTCTCTCTCCCCTCCTCCTACTGCCTCCCCCCCCTCAGCTCTCCTCCACCTTCTGCCTCTCTCTCCGTCTCTCTCTTTCTCTTCTCCCCCTCCTGCCTCTCACTCTCTCTCCGCTCTCCTCTGTCTCCATCAGGTATGTATGCTTGTCCAGGCCCCGTCCCCTGGCATGTACGTCACCGCCCTGCCACCCTTTGCCTCCCGCCATGGCGCTTGGCAGACTTGTGCACCGCTCAGCCAGGCCGCCACGGGGGAGCAACCGGCCATTTGGACCCCACACTCCCCATGCAGCATAGTCCGCCCAGAGGGAACAGCCAGCATTTCAGGCAACAGCGCCACCCAGAGGGAACAGCCAGCATTTCAGCGTTACAGACTCTCAGACACTGGGCTACTATATATATGATGACATTACATTTCTTCTCAAGATGAATATGTTTATTGTTGGTTAAAATTTGTCATCAACAAACCTGGTCCGTAGCCTTTTGGTCAGCACCTGCTTTAACTAACATTCGCATAATATCTAGGTTTCCCGACCAACTTGCAAGATGAATCGCCATCAGCCCATGCTTCAAATAAAAATGAACAAGGCAGAAATTACCATTCAAATACCTCAAACTACCATTCAAATACCACTATCTGATCTAATATGATTAATGGGATGAGCTGACTCAGTGACACAGGCTCCAGGGCACCCTTGTTAACATTATTCCCAGACACTGAGGGACTAATGGTGGATAATATGGCCATAATTTTTCCAGGTGAACAGAACAGTTATCTCCTTTCGTTTTCATTTGTTTTTCCTGGATTTTTTCATCTCTGTTAAACCTCTTTAAGCTTGCTTTCTCTTTGTGCCTCTTCCCCCCCTCCCCCCGCCCACTCTTGCCAAAGGGATATGCATTAGGAGCTCATAATCTCCTTCTCTGCTCCAGCCTCATAGGTATTCTGTCTCTTGTTCTCCTAGGGTCCCCCATCTCTCTTCCTTTATCGTGAGTATTATTTATACAGAAGCTTCAGTCATGGACAAGGGCCCCATTGTTCTAGGCGCTAGACAGACACACAGCGAAAAGACAGCCCCTGCCAGTTTATAATCTAAGAAGGAGACAAGACACAACCAGTGGATACAGGCAGAGGGGGGAATATGCATACACAATAAAGCAAATGGCTTAACAACCATATCCTGCCACCAACATTCTTCTGTTCAATCCTACCCCTTCCTCCCTGTCATAATCCCACTCCATCCCCTCTTTGCAAAGCAGCCTAGCTACTTGTTCCTCGATCTGTGATCCTCGTTTTCTGAAATCAGTGAGAAGTAGGCTACACTAGAGCCACTCAGCCAAGGAACTAACAGATTAAACAAGTCTGTTGCAGCAGTACAAGTGAATATGACAGAGGGACCTATCTACAGAATGGCACGGGGAAAAACCCCATCAGAATCAAGGGATCTGCTGTGGAAGCCTCTGGACACAGAACACTGAACAGACATGTGCTATTTGCTATTACGTTTCCCCGGTGATCAAGGATCACCTCCAAATTGAAAAATCCCACTTCTATCTGAAAATATTGTGCCTGCCTCAGCTACAGGCAATACTGAAAAAGGCTAGTGTGGAAGCCAGAAAAAAAGCAATTATTTTCCTCTTATTTTTTTCAGTTTACCAACTTAGTACATTTGTGTGTAGTCAGTTTCACTGTAGTGTTGACCCTCTTCCCCAGACTCTACAATAAGATGCAGGGACTGTGTCTTTATACACATTGGTAGAATGTTCAGCCTAATAGGGCTTTGTGACTGGGGCTTCTGGATGCTGCTCTAATATAAATATTAAACAATGAACATCCGCAACAGAGCTGAAAGTGAATGTGAAAGCTACATTGCCATTTAAAGAAAGAAGGTGGAAGGGTGGGATTGTGGCTCAGAGGCCTTCTCTACAGGACGTTTCTAAACAAACATGGGAGCAGAAGACAGATTTATTTATTTTTTAAGGAGAGATTCACTTTCACACAATACTTTTCAAAAGGAGCTCAGTAAGAATACAGGCTTATGTAAGAATATCCATAATGTGTCAAATCAAAGGTCCATCTAGCTCTGTAGCCTGTCTTCCAACAATGGCCAAAGCTAGGTGCCCAGAGGAAATTAACAGAATGGGCAATCACCAAGTGATCCCTCCCCTATCGCCCACTCCAAGTTTCTAGCAAAGAGATGCTAGGGACACCATCCATGCTTAAAGAAAAGTCACTTTTATGATTAAAGCTCCCATCCTTGCAACCTCTGTGTAGGTGCTTAACTTCAGCAAGATTACATAAGCACTTAGAGTTAAACATGTGATTAAATGTTTGCAAGATGGGTTCCTTAAAATGTGTCTTCAATCATTTCTAAAACCTACCTCTCTGAACACTGCAGTACATTAGAGGTGGTTGGTATAATTTCAGAAACATTAACCTGCCAGTGGCATTATTCCCCATACCTGCAACAACACTTTCTAGATGTACAATTCCAGGAATAAAGCCAAAACACAATGTATTATCTCCACAGATACAGTTTTAGACGTTATTTCCAAAGACCAACATGGACAGATAAGTAGAATAAAAAGGAAAAAATGCTTTTACATATAGTTCAGCAATTATGCTGAAAATTAAGAATATGTTTATTTCCAGGGTTTTAACTTTTATTAACTTAAATTTTACACCAATTTAAGAACCCCATGTGCTTTCAGTTATTTATTTGGAAAATTATTTACGTGGAAAGGAATGAAGATGAAATTCATACCAGTATCAGAAAGAGAAAAAATGTTTGATATATCATAGCGTTTCTTATTAATTGCAAAGACAACTGATTGCTGAAGAGTGATTTATCTTCAAGCACATTATATTACTGTATGTGGATACTAAATTTCTATCTGTAAAGTTCAATTAACAGATATTTCCAGGGGGTTTTGGGTGGAGGGAGAACCAGGGGATCACCAACATTTACTAATTACATTAAAATCTTATCCTATCAAGACTAATTATAATCAAAACAAGATGCTGAGGAGAATGTCTAATGAGGCTTCTACCACACACCTTTGTAATTCTCAGCCTTATGATGCACCTAAAAATGTTAATGGTCCCAGTGAAATATATTAGGGATCATCTACATGAACTCAGGGAGGGCGTGAGACCCCAGCAGCAGAGTGGCATATATAGATGTGCCTGAGTCAGCTTTGATCTGGCTAGATCAACTAGCTTAACAATAGCAGGGTAGCTGTAGTGCACCAGACTAGCCATTTAAGTATATATCCTGGGTCCTGGGCAGAGTTGTATTCAGGAGGCTAGCCTATGCCACCATCTCTGCTGCGGCAGCTAGTCTGCTGCTGTACTTGAGCTGTCATCTAGGATAATATGATTACATGGATAGTCCTGGGCCCAGAATACTCACTGAGTCCAGTCTTTCAATCAGTTGTGCACTCGCCTTATAGAAATGTCTCTTGAACCATATTTTCCTAGTTTGCTTATGAGAATGTGACTGTGTGAAAACCCCTACGTAATTCAGATATACCACAACCCTCTGCCACTATGCCAAACCTGACAAAGAAGGAAATTAGGTTGGTTTGTCATGATTTGTGCCTTGTTAATCCTTGATATCCTCTAGGTGTTTGCAGTCTGATTGTTTAAATATTGGCTCTGGAATCTTTCCATGTATAGGAGTCAGGGTGACTGGTCTATAATTTTCCCAGGTCCTCTTTCTTCCCTTTTTCAAGATAGGTCCTATGTTTGCCCTTCCCCGGTGCTCTGGGACCTCTATATATGCTACACTTCATGGCTTCAGTGTAGACAGACCCTTAGTCATTGGTATCAAATGACTACAGTCCAAAGCCTTATAAAACTGATCTGTTAATGTTAAATATTATAGCTGTATAATGGGACGGCCCGAGACTAGCTGCCAGCAACTGGAGCCCTAGATGAATTATGCAATTAGTGCCCCCACCTCCAAACCCCTCAATGATATTGCGCCACCATTTGGTGCCCCAGTTAATCTGGCGCCCTAGGTGACTGCCTAGTTTGCCTATATGGACAGGCCACCCCTGGCTATATTCATTTTAGAACACTTCATAGCTTTCATACGCATGGTTTCAGTTTGTCAGACAGAAAAAGGTACAATCACATGGCTAATTTGCTGTGAACTTTCTGAGCTCATAATAAGACAAGACTTACTTGTGTTTTCTTATTCTATAAATATTTAAGCTTCTGAAAGGCAAGTCTGTTCACTTTCTCAGTCTTGCGTGCAAGTGGTTCACAATAAGAAAATCTCTGAACTGGTAGAGAAGTCAAAATTTCTGGGATGTACAAAAGTTAGCTAAGATGCAGACCCAGGGCAATATTGCTCAGATGATTCATTTCTGCCTGTCAAAAAGACCCCTGAAGATAGTCTAAGCCAGGGCTATTGAACATGCGGCCTGTGGCCTGTTTGTTTGAACACCATGATTTGGATTTATGTGGGGCTCAACATGCGGCACATGGGCGGGATCCTTTGAACATGGCTTCCACTGGGAACACGCTCCACAACAGTGAGGCATCTCCCAGGCGGGGTGAGCACTGAAAGACTCAAGTGGATGGGTTGGCTGGAACAGACAGGTACAGAGTGTCGGCATTTCTAGCCCCTAAGGAGGAAGTGCTGGGAGTGCTGGGGCATTGTGGGAAGTGCTGGCAACTTAGCCTTGTGGGCAGACCTTGAGAGGTGCTGACTGGCTCACGCTGGCCACATTTGGGTTCGGTGCTGCGGCTTAAGGCCTAATCTTTGTATTAATGTGTGAAAGAAGCTATTTGCATATTTTTGCAACCACACTTGAGTTGCAGCCCTTGGCATGAGCTGTGAGTATCACGGTGGTCCCCGGGAATTCCAAAGTTGAATAACCCTGCTCTAGGCTAATTGCTCCACCATGCTAAGGTCTCTTTCACCTGGGGCTCTGTAAGATGTTATTCTGTCTCACTTCTCTTGCTTTGTATGTACACTGACTGGGGCAAGAGGGACAGTTGTAAGTGCAGAGATCAGTATGCAGATGACATGGAATACTCTGCTGGGGTACAACCCCACTCTTCCCAGTGGGAAAGACTATAGCCACTCTGTGGGGAGACTTTCATGGTTCCTCTAAGCAACAGCTCTCCAGCAACAAGACACCAATGAGGCATTTCCTCTGTAGCACTCCCTTTCTTCAGCCCTTCTAAACCCTTGATTCCAGCCCTCTGCCATATAGCCAGCAGGATCTCACTCTGTTGCTTCTCCTGCCTTTAACACTCTCCAGCTCTGTCTCTCTGTCTTGAGAATGCTGGACACGAATCCCCTAGCTTGATCTCCTACCTTCAGTCTCTGACAGCTCTTCGCTCTTGCTGACTAAGTCTGTCTGCTCAAACACTGCATCTCACCAGACCTCTTAGATCTGTGGTCAGCAACCTGTCAATTGCGATCGACTGGTTGATTGTGGCAGCACAACCAGTCGATTGTGAGGTGTTCAAGCCCGCCCTTATTACTCCCTCACCCCCAAGAAGGAGCCCACGCTGGTGCTACAACCTCCTGGGAAAATGGAGGTAGCTCTGACTTCCTGCGGCATGGAGGGGGAAGTCCCTCCCCAAAACCGCCGTTGCGCTTCCTGAGAAGTTGGATCTGGCGCGCAGCCACAGGATTTCCTTCCCTGTGCTACCTGCCTTCTTTTCTGCATGGGGGGGGGGGGTTGGCTGCTCAGAAAGTGTGCCTGCTGTTGTGGGGAGGAGAGGAGCAGCATGTGCACTTCCTGAGATGCTGGATCTGGCGCGCAGCTGCAGGACCTCCAGGTACAGGCTGAGCTGTCCCTACCCCCTCCCCCTCCCCAGATCCCCAGAAGTACCCTGCTCCCTGCCCAGGACCCTACCAGCACCTGGCTCCTGGCCAGACTCCCACTTGCACCTAGCCCAGTCCCTCACCAGCACCCTGCTCCTGCCCTGACTCCCACCAGAACCCTTCCCACTACCCACCAGCACCCTGATCCTGCCTCTCCTTCCTGGCCAGACATCTACCCCCAGCTTGCTCCTGTACCTATTTTCCACCCAGATTCTGCACCGCCATCCCTATCCCATTCACTGGCAGCCCTGTCCTGCATACTGGATCCTCATTTTTGGTCCTACCTCAGAGTATAGAGGGGCCCACAAATTCCACTAACCCTGGAACTCAGAGGAGTTAATCTGGCTGGAAGCCTTGAACCTCAGTCCTACCTACCCTCCCCCATATGGGGTTGGAGTGTCAGGGGAGTAAGGTATCATAGTTGGGAGCCACAACAGTGAGGCTTTTGGGGGGTTTTGGAGGGTTTTTTTGCATCTCACTTGTGTGGTCTCTGACTGATTTTTCTGTGGATCAGTGACCCCTGACCCAAAACAGGTTCCCCGTCCCTCCCATAAATAAAGACAATGTTGAAACATTTTGTGTTGGACATAGTATTTTATTTTAAAATGGAGCCCAGCCAGCAAGCCCCCAATTGGGGCCACGCCCCCATCTGGCCACAGCATCAGAACACTCCTGCACCCCCCACAGACCCCAACTCTGAGCCCATCATACACCAGAAACCCGTCCTGAGCCTCTCACATCCCCAAACTCCTGTACCCTCATCTCCCTAGTCTTCTGCCACAACACTCCTGCACCATCCACACTTTGCAAATCTGTGTCCTAGCCCATCATTCTCCCAGCCTCCCTGCCCTGAGCCCCTCATACAGCCCAACCCAAATTCCTGCACCCTCAGAGTCACAAGCTTGTGGCTTGCTCAGCACCCAACCCTCCACCTGACCCCCACAATCTCCAGCCTGGAGCCCCCTCCCTGAGCCAGCATCCCCTTCTCCAACTGCTGTACCCAAATTCCCTCCCAGAGCTTGCACGTCTCACTTCATTCCCACCCAAGAGCTCGCACCTCCTGTCTCAATCGAGTGAGGGCTGGGGACAGCAAATGATGGAGAGGAGGGGAACGGAAAGGGCGGGGCCTCAAGGAAGGGGTGGGGTCTTGGTAAGGGAGGAGGTACATCTTAGCTTGCTCAGACATTTTAAAAAGTGATCTTAGGTGTAAAAAGTTTGGAGACCACTGCTGTAGAGAACAGTAGGTGCTGCCCTACCCTCTTTAGTGGCCCAACGAGCCACAGGTTTGCTAAGCCCCTGCTCCTTTTAACGGGTCACACACCCTGCTACTCTATAATCAGGATTTACACAGCAAGTCCTTTTTAGCAATAGTTTAGTTTTAATCTAGAAAAAAAATGAAACAGGACAAAGTCTTGCATGAAAAGTGTATAAATATTTCTAGATATTTCACAAAAACATCTCTAATGTAATGTTTTTAAGAACTCCAAAACCTGTATTGGGCCCATAATGAGAAATTCTAAAAGGGAGGCTAGACGCAGGGGTGTAACACGTTGGATACCTTTTTTTTTAAATTTCAACACCTAATTATTCATGGAAATATTTTTATGAATTAAGGGCCATATAACTCAATCCAGCTATTTGGATCAACAGATTTCCCTTCAGTGCTTGTAAGTCAAACCTTACAGTGACACAAAGAGAAACAAAACTGAAAATGGCTAATCTATTACATTTTTTAAATTCTTTTTGTTTGAGATCTGTTCATTCTTAGCAACCCATAAGAAGTTTGCTTCATTAATATACCAGCCGGCTCTCCCACTGTGCTACAGCCACTCTACCTCATAATGCTGGCCAAAGTGGCTCTAAAGCTGACATAGTCTAGCCAGCCACCCCAGTGCAAGGAGTCTGTTGATGGCACTGAGACAACATAGTGATTTGATAGCACTGAGACAACATACTTCTCCCCTCTTAGCAGCCAGACTAGTGGGGTGTGCTGGAGAAAAGGGGACGTGGCCAGTGGGTCTCCAGTGATCCCTGCTTGCTCTGTCAGCCCACTGGGTGTAAATTAGAGCAGTCTCACAGCTGCTCTATGTTAGACAGTAATCCAAACTCGTACACGCCCATCCCAGGATTGGGGAGCCGCACTGGTGGCATTAAATCACCTTTACACAGAAATTCCTCCTGCACTATACAGCTGCGACTGCAGCAGACAAGGCTTTGGATCTTTTATTTTTTACCTGAGAGTAGTGGTGTACTTACCTTATCTGCAACATCCACTCTAGCTTTGTGATGGAGCAGGAAATCCACAGCAGAGATATGATTTCCTGCAACAGCAAAATGGAGAGCTGTGCGCCGCAGCTGAAATAAAACAAGCCTGGGCTGACAGGTATGTAATAGTTCTTTTCGCTACACAAATGATCAGGATTTCTGAATCCTCTGATCAAAATTACCAGCACATATTCATTTGCACAGTCTCACTTTACAATTGCCAAAATGTGCCATTGTCTGTATTTTTGTTGCCTTGTATTGAAAACAAATATGGTCTTCAATGAAATTTAGTTGAACCAGAGTCTATTAGGTATTTACGTGCCGAACTAATCCCTTCATTGCAGCAGGGTGTAAGAAATCACACATTGCTTAGAGAATGGAAATATGCTATGCCAGTGGTGGGCAAAAGGACTTCAGCGGGCCGGATCCAGGTGGGATCCGGGGCAGGGGAGAGTGTGAAACTTCCTCTCGTCTTGCTAGGAACACGTGGCACTTTTAAGAACGACGCACTTCTCGCAGGGTGGGGGCAGAGCAGAGGAGGCTTCACATGCTCCCCCTCCTCAGGCTCTAATTGGCCTGGGGGCAGGAGAGTGTGGGAAGTCACACACTCGGGGGAATGTGTGTGGGGGGGAAAGGTGCTCCCTCCCCCCTAGACCAATCATTGTCTGAGGGTGGGAAACCCGGAACTATCTTGGCCCCGCCCCTTCCGCTTGATGCCCCACCCCTTCCTGTGCAGCCCAGGGCCACTCCAAAAATTTCCCAAGTGACTGCTAGCAAAAAATTATTGCCCACCCCTGTGCTATGCTGAAAATATTCATTTTCACAATTTCCATTTTACTGTTTAATTTTAAAAGCAAAGGTTTAGGCTATTTCTATACTATAAGTGCTATGCCGCAGCTGTAGACCAGGCCTAAGACTTATGTAATTAGACTTGTTTCTTGGTGATATCCTGATTTCTGCATATTTGTTTTTGATTTTATCTCTGTAATGCATGACTCAAATTCTCTTACTCAATATTAGTCATCTTTTCAATTCAACCTATGCAAACAAAGGTTTCCATCCTCCAACCCTATATGAGTAACTTTGCATACATGAATAATCTGAGTTCAAGGAGTCTACCCTTATGAAATAGGTGTGGTCCACACTTTGAAATGAGATCTGCTTAGTTACATTGCTCAGAGCTGTGAAAAATGTCATGCTCTGAGTACCATGAATAGCACTATGCATTTATGGAAACGCACAATATTCTCATTCAAAAGAATGTAATTTTAAAAGGATCCTTTTTTCTCTTTTCTGAAGGACGACTCAGGAATCCAGCTGTAGGCTACCCATATTTCCCCAGTTCAAAGCTGAGCATGTGTAAAAGGAGGCACATTTTTTTCAGAACTTGTGATGATTAAGTATTAGTTCAAACTAAATCAGACAGATTACACCTCAAAATTTGTTGCAGACTGGTGACCATCTGGGTTTCCCAAAGGGACAGAAATGCTGTGGATCAGGCGCCAAAAGGGACAGAGGCCCACTCCCTGTTACTGAGGCTTGCCCTGGGCTCAGGCCCATCCATAAGAGAATGGAAGGCAGGGGGCACCCCTCAGTTACAAGGCCCAGGACATGCCCCCCCCCTTTCTCAAGTCCCACCCCTGCTGTGCCCCTTCCCGCCCACATGCATCCTTTCTCATTTAACACAAGTCGGGGGATTACTAGAGGGCTGGCACAGGGCAGCAGCAGGGACTGCCCTCCCTCCATCTTACCGCGGTGGTGAGAGACAGAGCATTCCGGCAGCCTGTTCCGCCCCTCTCTGTTGCCCTATGTCCTCTCCATGGTGACAGGAAGCAGAGCACCCTGAGGCTGAGGTGTTCTGCTTCTTGCTGCTGCAAGAAGCAGATCGCAGCAGGCCCGGAAATGGCAGCAGGGCGGAGCAGAGCAAGCTGCCAGGTCACTTTGGATCCTGGGGGGGGGGGGGGGAACACTGCTCCTGCCTCCTGCCCGACCTCCAGCTCCAAGTAATCCCTTGAGTCCTATCCATAGGACTGTTGAGGTGGCCACTGTGGGGCCCCTGAAAGCACAGTGCCTGTGGCAGCCATCTTGAACCATCCTATGGATGGGACTGCTCTGCCTGGGCTAATATTCTTCTCCATGAAATGCTGCAATACCTGCGGAGAACAGGGTTCTCAACAACATTTTTGGTGGCCTTAGAGCATGGTTACCAACTCTTTCTGGTGGCCACTCTGACAACTTTTCCTAAAATACTTTAACTTTAGAGAAAAAATAAATATGCACATATGCATGCCCATATCACTCTAATGTATTTAGGCAGGGTTTGGTTTGCAGACTCAATAGTAAAAATAATGTACAGTTGTGTCTGTTCTTTATTGGACCTACACACGCTAGAAATACAAGTTGCATGTTATGTTCTTTGGTTATTTCTTTTGCTTTTTTGTTCCTCCCCTTTTTCTCCCCAACATGCTACCTAGTGGTAAGTCTGAAAGCTAGCTGCGAGGCTGTGAAAAGCGATATTAACAAACATACAAATATTACTTTTTGCAGCAGATTTACTCAGCCCCAGGAAGCCGGGAGACACATGGAGTCTGGATGGCAATGTGGGTAGGCAGGTAACCGG